TAGGTTACTCTTTGTTTCTCCCTTGCTGCTTTCAGGATTCTCTCCTTATCCTTAGTTCTGGCAAATTTAACTATGATATGCCTTGATGTTTTTCTTTTGTATATATCTATATTCTCAGGAACAGGTTTGAGGCCTTGGACATTAATGAGCAAAGACCAGATGAGCTGTGGGAAGATATCAAGAATATCATCCAGGAAGAATGCAAAAGATCACTACAAAGACAGAGGAGGAAGAAAAGACCAAGAAGGATGTCAGAAGAAACTAAATATTGCATTGGAGTGCCGAGAAGCCAATGCAAAGGGAAGAAATCAAGATATTAAGGAGTTGTATAGAAGATTCCAGAGGGCAGCACAGGAGCTGGAGTCTGAAAATCAAAATGGCCAAACTTGTTCATCCTTTCTTAAGCTGACGAAACTGAAGAACAAATTCAAATCTTGAGTTGCAATACTTAAGGATGCTTTGGGCAGAATATTAAATGATCCAGGAAACATTAAAAGAAGATAGAGTATACAGAGTCATTGTACCAAAATGAATTGGTGAACACAGAAGAATTTCATGAAACAATGTATGAGCAAGAGCCTGTGGTGATGAAGGGAAAAGTTCAAGCTGCTCTGAAAAAATTGGGGGGGGGGAAGGCCCCAAGAATTAATGACATACTGATAGACATATTTCAACAAACAGATGCTGCCGTGGATGTGCTCACCAAGTAGTGCCAAGAAATCTGGAGGACAACCAACTGGCCTACTGACTGGGAGAGAAGTATTTGTTCCTATTCCAAAGAAAGGTAATCTGACAAAATGTGGAAATTATCGAAAAGTATAAATAATAATAAAAAATATCACATGCAAGCTATATTCTGCTGAAGATTATCCAAAAATGACTGGAACAGCATATCAACAGAGAACTGCCTGACGTGCAGGCTAGATTTAGAAGAGGCCGTGGCTCTAGGGATATTATAGCTAATGTCAGATGAATCTTGGCTGAAAGCAGAGACTACCAGAGGAATGTCTATCTATGTTTCATTGACTATGCAAAGGCATTTGACTTTGTGGATTACAACAAACTGTGACTGACTCTGAGAAGAATGGGAACCCCAGAACACTTTATTGTACTTATGTGAAACCTATACTTGGACCAGGAGTTGGTAGTCAGAACAGAGCAAGGAAACACTTCATGGTTCAAAATTGAGAAGGGTGGGTGTCAAGGATGTGTCCTGTCTTCATATCTTTTCAATCTATATGCGAAACAGATTATCCAGGAAGCTGGGCTCTATGAGGAGAAGAGTGGTATCAAGATTGGAGGTAGACTCATCAACAATCTGTGTTATGCAGATGGCACAACCCTGCTTGCTGAAACTGAGGTGGACCTGAAGCACTTGCTGCAGAAGGTCAAGGACTATAGCCTTCAATATGGATTGATGCTCATCATCAAGAAAACAAAGATTCTCACCACTAGGATAATTGGCAACATCATGATGGATGATGAAGAGATTGAGATTGTTGACAGCTTTAGTTTTCTTGGCTCTACAATAAACAGTCTTGGGACCAGCAGCCAGGAAATTAAAAGACAAATTGCATTGGGAAAGTCTGCTGTCAGAGACCTCTCCAAAGTACTGAAAAGCAACAATGTCAGTCTGGAGACCAAGGTGCTTGCTATGTATCAGAGAGCTGGACAATGACTAGGGATGATAGAACGAGAGTTGAAGCCTTTGAGCTTTGGTGCTGGAGAAGAGTATTGAATGTACCATGGACCGCTAGGAGAACAAACAAGTTCGTCCTGGAGAGGGTGAAGGCTGGCTGCTCCTTGGAGGCAAGGACTCTGAAGCTCCATCTGCCATATTTTGGACATGTTGCAAGGAGGGATCAGTCCTTGTCATGCTGGGAGGGTGCAGGGACTGTGCAGGAGAGGAAGACCCTAGATGAGATGGGTTGATTCAATCACTGAGGTAATGAGGACAGGTGTGTCAGAGACAGTAAGATTGGCAATGGATACAGCAGGGGTTTGGGCTGTTGTACGTAGAGATGCTATGAGTTGCAGGTGACTCGACGGCACGTAACAAAAACAATATATAGATACATGTTTAGTTGTCATTGAACTTAGAGCTAACAATATTACGACTCATGCTTGAAAAATGCTTATTTAGCATACATCTTTTTTCCACTCTACACCTGGTCATGAATGACTGCAAAACATATGAGTATTGATTTGGGGGGGGGATCTGTGAATAATGACTGAGTGTGCTGCTTTCTTAAAAAATAAACGTCTCATGAAAAGTCTTTATGATAGAGCTTTAATTCAAAATCAACAAAGAAAGTTGTTTTTCTTGTTATGTGCCAATGAGTGACTCATAGCAACCCTCTGAAAAATGGGTATGAATCTTGCTCTTTTCTGTGTCACTTTTATAATCTCCCACATTTTTGTAGTTTTGATTAATGCCTCTGAGATTATGATTTTCATTTCTCTCTCACAGATGACTCCAGGAGAGATTAAGTTTTCTGTTCACGTAGAGTCTGTCCTTAATCGTGTACCTCAGCCTGAGTATCGTCAGCTTTTCGTTGAGGCCATTCTTGTCCTTACTGTGCTGGCAGATATTGAAATTCATAGCATTGGAAGCATCATTGCAGTGGAAAAAATAGTACATATTGCCAATGATTTGTTCCTTCAAGAGCAGGTATGTAAATCTGTTTTTTAAAAAAGAGAATGTTTGCTAACTTAACTGCATTCAGAGCCCTTTCATGTATCCAAGGATGTTGTTGTTGTTGTTTGTTATGTGTCGTCGAGTTGTTTGCGGCTCATAGCCACCCTATGTACAACAGCCCTAAACCCTGCTCTA